TGCCAACCTCCGCCTTTGCCTGGTCCAGGATGAGAAAGGGGGAGGGTTGGGCGCGGGGCTAGCAACTCCACCCCGTAAAAACTAACCTGGTACAAGTAACTGCAACAACATCTTCCGTTGGCGAGGTGTTGTTGCGGCCCTATGCTCCACTGGGAGTTTACAGGAATAATAATAATAAAAAAAATGAGAAACGGCACCTCTTTAGTATATCTCTCACTTATGTTTACTCCTTAAGATTAACGAAAATTATCCTAGTTCCTTTACTAAGAGCTTATGGTCCTTCGAAACAAGAGTTAATCGCTCTTAATGTAATTACAAAATCTATTATACAGCGAGGAAACTGTATCCTAATACTTACTCTCAATGTTAGTTGTTACTTAAAACTAAAGCCCCTTTTTTTCAACCTGGGATACAGTACTAAAATTCGAGGTTGGATACTTGCATTGGGCACAGTGTAGAGAGTCCATTATGCAGCTTTGCGATTGAAGAAAAACCAACCTATGTTTTTCTGAACTTGTAGAGACTAACAGTAAAATGGATTATACTTTAGTGTTCTCAGGTTTCCTCAGTGTAAGGCAAGACTGCTTTATAACAGAAAGATTGGCAAAATCAATTAAACTGAGACTTCAAGCAAGAAATAAACAAACTGAACAATGTTATATAAAATGAAGTAATATTTATTTATTCAATTCACAACGATAGCATGCATTTCCGTCTTACTGGGTTACACTTAGCTGAGGTAATTTTTTCCTCACAGTCCACTCTGGGTAGCTATAATCGTGATACGGTTATTTGGTCAGTTAAAAATTTATGTCTCTGAAGGTTCAAATATTGAAAACTTTGTTTACATAGAAGTTTATACGTGTTCAACTACAGGAATATTATAATTTGAAAAATGGGTGTCTGTTCCTCCATTGCATATGAATATAAAGAAAAAGAAATACATAAACAAAACAATCTATGGCTGCATGTGAATTTCTGTTATTAAAACTGAACAAAAAACCTTTTTCTACTGCAAAATTTTGAAGTCATAATTTTCATATAATGCTGTAAAATTAATTTTTTTAAAGACAATTTTCAGAGTATTATGTAATTTTATGCTAATCAAAAACATGTTAAGACTTTTACATTTTAAAGAAAATGCACATGTAAGAAGCATGTTGGAACATGTTTTTTTCGAACAGG